TAGCTTGGGGACTAGCTCTAGTTTCTCCAGAACCAGACCAAAATACTTCCAAAAGACAACAGCTGTTTCCAGCATTTGCCACTATTTCCCTACACAATTCTGAAGCTGCTATCCCTTTTTTCCCCCTCAAGCATTTCAGCTGAAATTCTTGTTTTACAATATTTTTCTTTCAAGGCAATTGTGTTCCAGGATGGCATATTGTGTTGCTGGTGTGTGGAGGAATCTGGAGTGATCTAAGGTCAGTCTCCATTTCAAGGGGCAGGACTGACATTCTTAGAGCAATCTTTTTCTCTGGTCCCACTCACACACAAAAACATATATATTTTTTTCTTTTTCTTTTTTTTCCTTCTATTAGAAATAACAGCCTGGCCAACACCTTGTTCAAGAAGGGACTCAGAACTGGATCCCTTTTGGGGGTTACATGGAGGCTTATGAGGGATTGTAGGGGTCATAGGCTGGAAGGATTTCTTTACTTTGACTTCCTTCACAGGTTTTGGTTTTAATAAGAAATGTCACCTTGAGCCAGTCATCTTAAAGTAATTGAGCTAGACTCTCAACCTCCTTCTCCTCTAGTACTGGGTGAGAATTATGCACATGCGCTTGCTTGGAATATCACATTGTGGACAAGAAACTGATGCAACAAGTTGCAGCAAGAGGTCATCTTCTAGTAAGGGTGCATACAGAAAGGGCACTGTTGGAGGCACAAACACTGAATCTACACATGTTTCTCCAGATTTTCTCTGGCTTTGTGGCCAGTATGCTATGCGCAAGTGATCTGCGACACAGAGAAAACTTATTCAAGATATACGTACCCTGAGTGGGCGTGGGTTTAGGGATGTGCATAGCTAGTAGACTCAGGTAGTGCAGTAGGGAAGTGTTTGGTAGCTGCCAGATGCCTCTTGCATTCTGAAAATTCTGCAAGATGGAGACATAAGGGTTAGCTGGTGGAAAAGGTATGCAGAATATGCCTGTTTTTCCTTTTGTTTCAGATACATAAAATGTATTTGTCTTAATATTTTCTTGTTATAAAATTATGAAAGATTTCTATAATTGCTTTTTCCTTCTCTAGCTTTCCCACAGATTAACTGATCTTTTAGGATTTTCACATTCCTGTTCATCTAAAACATCTTCTTTATCCTGCATAAAATCTTTGCTCACTAGAAAGTTATTGTCCAAGGTTGTTAGCCTTTCCAGGTATTTTCTTTGTCATTAGTGAAATATTGTAGTTGTGTTAATGACCTGGCAAAGGAAACCACTAACCTAATTGGGGCATAAATGCAGGTGAATTTAATAAAGAGAAACATTAGCTGTCTAGACCTTTACTGGGACCACCTGTTTTTTCGAGTTGGATTGGAGACTGTCTGTGTCCTACACTGGGTCTGCACATGTTGCAGCTGCAGTGGCTCTGGGGGCATGTTCTGGTCATGAAAATCGCATCACCTGCATAGATGAAGGTGTTATATGTACCAGAGGACTGTCTGCTTCATATAGCCAGAACCAAACAACATATATCCTAGCAGGTGACCAAAGTGAGCTGAGCAGCCAGTTTTACTACAGCCTGAAGTAATCTGTTTTCATTTATTCTGCAATATGACCAGATACACAGCTGTGATGAAATCAAATAATTCCACCTGTGATAAATGAGCCGGGGACATGGTTTCATATTACATGCATTTTAATGAGCTTTCCACAGCAGGTCTCACGTTTAAACCCATCCAGCCCTATACATCTGAGAAGAGAGGTGAGACATGCAGACCTTTCACACGAGACTCACTCACCTGTCGTGTGTTTAACATTAAATACATGGCCAGTGTTTTGTACTCTTACATCCCCTGTCCACAACTCACGTTCACATTCCTGTGGAATGGTGGGATGGTTCACTTATGAGAAAAGGTAACAATTTTCTTGAGCTTGTGCCTCTTTGCGTTAGATTGTATTTCTTCATGTCTCGTGGATTAAGGGCTTTGTTGCCACTTGGCAATCAGACCACAAGTTAGATGCTGCCCCAAGCTGTGACCACAACACAGAGACACAGCTCTCCAAGCAATCCAAGACTGACAGGGCAAAGACAGGCTCTGCAGAGGCATTATATAGAGCTGGCCATAGCTATACCACTGTTAGAACATTCATGCTCTGTGAGATGCTTAAACCAGTGGGTTTGTCGCTTTGAAATCAGTGCTTGAGGAGAAAGTTCATAGCTTTCTTATAGCTGCAGGTGCACTGTGTATCCACTACTTGACAATGACTTATGCTGCTAGGAAGCAGACTATTCTGCAGAAAGCAATAATAGAGTTTAGTTTTGTTTACTGACTTTCATAGTCTGAAGTGCTCTGAGCAACCTCCACAAATGACAAGTTAAATGTTAACAGTCCAATGTGCTGCACAGTTTCTTAGGTGAATTAACCCTTGTTAAAGGCTTTTCACTTGCATCTTCACAGTTCGCTTTCCACTTATGCCTCTGTACACTTTCAGTTAAGCTTCTTTGACAGATTTTTCTGTAGATTTGGTGGTAGTAACATTTTCCTTGTGGGTTTTATGCTGTTGTCCTGACAGTGTAAGGCTCAAAGGCCTTACCTGCAAGCCCTGATACTGCTGTTATGGTAGGCCCTCATGGGAAGTGATGTTGGACATCAGTGATGGGCTCCGCTAGTAAAGCCTCAGCAAATAAGCCTTTCTCATCATACTGTGTGCAACAAATGCCTAAGTAGGCAAAATTCAGTAGCGAATATATATCACCAGTTAGGTGATACCTAAATTGGTACTTCAAAGCATTGCCAGATGAATGGTGAGCACCTGCTGCACCAGGTAATTAAAGATCACCAATGATTTCTACCAACCCCCCCTCTGCTTTCCCTTGAACTTTGTTCAAATACGCAAATCAGATGTCAGAATCCCAACGTGTCAGTAATATATATTCCTATATTCCATCAGAAATAAACATTTATTTTTATTAGTCTGTTTCCCAAAATAAATAAGTCTGGTATGATCCATGTGTCAGCAAAACCCTTTCTCTAATATCTTTCAAATTGGTTGGGCAAGTTGAACTGCAAGTTGTTAAGATAACTGCAAGTTGTTAAGATAACTAAAATTTCATAACTTTGGTGAAACTTCCCATCTGCAAGAGATAGACCCTAACTATTGCCCCACTGTGGCAGGGCACAGCATTTCTACACTGTTAATCAATTAGCTGCTAACAGATGTTCATGATAGGCAAAACATTTGCAATTAATTGACCACATGCAGTTTCTAGTCATATTATCAACATTTGTCCTTGTGTTCCGACATTAGCAGGGCATCATGTAAGAGCTAGGGAGTATGAATGAAGGAGTATGACTGTGAGCAGGAGAAGAAGGACACATGTCTCTAGGAAATCAGTTTCATTAGTTCTGCTGCTCATGGAAAAAATGTAAAAAGTAGGATTCACCATAAGGTCCCAAACTGGTCTTTGAGTCTACTCTTATGAATCCTGGTTTGTTCCTAATTGCAGATTGTCTTAATGAGTCATCTCTCCTTAACTTCCTCTTCACCAGGGAAAAAATAACATTCAGGTGCATAACTCTCTTTCTCATCTTACCTTTAGTTGGCAACCTGACCAGCTGTCACTCATATAAGTCTTTGGCAGGCTTTAAACACTAATTAATGTACTGTATTATCATATCTGTTAAGTTGTTTCTCACAATAATTGACAAGTTCTTATGTTTCTCCTTGCTAGTCTTGTTGTTTTGGAAAGTATGATGAAATAATGCATGTTTAAATCTGCCTGTGGCTGGGTACTTACTTATTGATAAATCTAGTGACTTTCTTTTTGTGATTATTGCATTTTAAGCTGTTTATGACAGACTGTCTGACATATTAGACATAATAAAGAGCCTAATAAACAATATTATTGAAATCCATATAGAAGATAGGTCAGAACTCTGGGAAGAAGAAAACAACTGTTAATTATAGATGGAAGGTTGGCTTCTGAAATTGCTGGAGGGTCTGTTTTAAGGATGTTTATCTCCAGTAGGTTATGAAAAAGTTGAAAGGGTACATCCCTATCAACAAATATGTACAAATTAAATTTGGAAACAAATATCTGTTATATTCCTTTATCAAGTTATCGAGATAAATGAGATGCTAAAACTTAAACTTTTATCTTTAGTGACATGGTATTTTTCAGTTTTCTGCTTTTCTTTTCTTCCTTGAGTTTTCTCTTCCCCTCCAAGCCAAAATCATTTTTTCTTTCCTGTGCTCGGCAGAAAGCAAATGAGTCTTTAAATGGTTTCTAGATTCTTACTGATCCTTGCTTATTCATAGTTTTGTAATCAAAAGAATTTCCTCTCAAGTGTAAAGGAACATAGTCTTCTAAAGAAATCCTACGTTATCACTTAGGAGGGTATATTCTCTCTTCCTGTAACTTTTTTTTTCTTTTTTCTATTTTTTTTCTGTCAGCTATAAGATACACTATAGTTTTAGAAATTCTTAATATGCTAAAAAGTGTTTTGCCTTTCACAGTCACTTGATAGTGAGTGCTGACTTTAACTTGTATGGGTTAATTTTATTTTAATTGGCCTGGATAGTCACTAGGTACCTGGTGGTGGGAATATGTAGAAAAATAATTATTCCACGTCTTGGAAATTATTGCACTTCAATATCTCTGCAACAAGAATAGTGATCTTAAATAGATAGGTAATTCAGAGGTGCCACCCTCAAAGGTAAGAAGTCATTGGTATTTTTCCATCAAGCTTGCAAAGAGCTTCACTAAAATATTCTTGCAACCAACATCCACCTGTGGATGTATACAATTTCACAGTGATCCTTGTGAGCGTTCTCATGTATCACATGCAAAAATAACTGGTATAGTCTGTAGAAATATTTCTACTGAATGCTCTGTTTTGGAAACAAAACAGATTCCATAACAGATGTAGCATTGCTATGTGTAAATAGAAGTTTTATCCATAATCCAGCATTTTTCAGATTGACTGTGTGAAATAGGAAAACAAAGCAAAGGGACATCAATCCGTATCATGACACAAACTTACTGAACAGTTGGGAAAGGACTATTAGATACTTATGGGATAATTAGTAATGGTTAGAAACCACTGAGAAGTGTGTAGATTTCTGGGAAGCTCTGGAGCATGAATAGAGACATCTTAGAGTTGTATCTGGAATCAGTTTATGATCTCTTTGCAGGTCCCTAGAGAAAAAAAAAGAAAGCAAATCTTTTCTTTGTCTACTTGAGCAAGGCAAAAATGTAGTTGTACAGAAACAGTAAATCAGTGGCAATTACTGCCACTTGTAGCAGTAGTCTTCTGTACCTGCCAATATCTGTGTGTGGTGCTTGGTGGTAGGATGTGTACAGAGCAGACAGCTGGGCATAGCTGTCTCCCACTCCTGTTTTGTTCTGTTGATATGGTGAAAGCTGTAGATTCTCATTCTGTTGGGATTCAAAGAATTGGGCCTTTCTCTGATACTGCTTGTCTAGTCTGTAACTCCCTACAACACCAAGGCTCCCATATGGATTTCTTTCACCTTCTGTTTTAGCTCCATACTCTGCAGATTGCAAATAAGCCTGTTAAGTATCCTGCAGTGACTGTGAGATTCTTTAGCACCTGTCTCCTCACACTTGCCTACTGCAATGATATGTCTCACAGAGTAGTGCTGCTACCTTCCCTTCCCTTCCCTCAGGGCTCCCATCCACATACTCTTGACCAATAGCTCTGCAGTTTGTCCCCCAGCTGCACCTGGTGCATAAGCACATATGGGCAGGAGAAACTGTGGCACTGTGTTCCATATGCCCCTGCACTCCCCTCCAGCAGGCAAACCCTACAGCCTCTTGCTCATGTAGCAGATATGATCTCCCATTGCATGACTGGACACCCCTGATCTGTGGTCTCAAGTGTAAATCTCATATTTTGGCATTCAACTGCTCTGAGGAATCTGCAGAAGGAGCAATTGCTCCTGGGGGAACAGTGGTATTGGATGATGCTTAACATCTAAGCCTGAAAAGCTTTTAGGAGAAGACATCTTCTAAGAATACAAATTATGTTTATACTTTTAAGCTCCATCTTTGCCATTCAAAGTGTTTCAAACATGTTATTTAAGTATGGTAACAACCTCTGTGAGCAGTTTGGATTTTTATACATCCTGAGAAGCAAAAGTGCAACCTTTCTTTCCCTCCTCTATGTACCTTGTTTGGTAGAAGAGAGAGATTAAAGGATTTATTTTATTTTATTTTATTTTTATAACCAGGGATTTATGTACAACACCAAGTTGAAAACTGATGATTGACATCACTGGAGAATGGGATAGGGACTGAGTTGCTGGTGGGCTGTGACCTGTCATTGTTTGTGGCTGCAGAGATACCCAGGCCCTTTACTTTCTCTGGGATAAGAGCAGGGTGCAACCTCCAAAACCATTAACAATGTTCTGTCTGGGGGGAGGCCAGAGAGGCTGAATGGATGTTGTTGTGATGGAGATGTGAAAGAGGGCTAGTATCTCCACAGCTGTCTTGAATTTCTCTGACGGGACAGTAGCCAAGGTGACCATAAAGATATTAATTTATAACTTTTCAGAACTGACTGGCTGTTTAAACCCTACATATGTTTGTATTGAATGAGTCTAGGGTCAGGGCATTTTTGTACTTTCCTCTTTCCCTCTGAAATGTAAATACATTTCTTCATGTGATGACCGATTTACTTCAATCCACAAAGGTATTTCTGAAAGGGTCCAAACACTTTATTTAAGCACCTGTTGGGTGCTGTTTTTCATTTAGCCTTGTGAGTTATACTCCCAAAGAGAGGGGTCAGAATTCTTGAAATGTATTTATCTATCTAATGATGCCTTAGAAAAATATAACACATGGAGGGACTGGGGTTGTGTTGACTGCTAAGTGTTGAGAAACTTTACTGATACATCTCTTGGACTGCAAATTTTATATATTGTTCAGAATTCTCTTTTGTTTGCAGTTTACTGCACCGGTATTTTCACCTTTGGTTAAACTGTATAAGTATCTCTGAATTTACAGTAGATATACTTTGTTTTTTAAGCAATAACATTTCTTGCTTTTCTATAGTGATTGGTTCTTGTACTCATTTATATAGTGCTGACTTTTTTCACAGAAGGGCTAGGAAGCAACTGTGTGTTCTTTTTTCTTTCCTATTAGATGTATGAGTGTAAGAAGTTGCTAATTAAGTTCCCTATTAGCTAATTTGTTTTGCAATTGAGTCTCACTGAGTTTGTAAAAGGTGCTGTTACTTCTGAGAGTTTAGTAAATCAGGTCTTCTCACAATGGTTCAGTTGACTTTAATTCTAGCAAATTAAAACTCTCCTATTCACCTGATGCTTCTTTCTTTGTAATAGCATCTTTACATATAAGCTTACATTTTTAGATAATGTATTTGTCTTTGTTTTATTTAGTCAACATCATATGACTTAATGCTTTTAACTGATATTTTTGTGATCGTGTTCACTTGCCTGAAGTAAAACATAGAATAAAATAATAATTGTAAATAAGGGTGCTGACGACTTGGGATCGTAAAACCAATTGTGCAGTACTTCTGTAATCCTTGCAGGAGTCAGCAATGTGTCAGGAGCAACTCTCCTTTCCTATCTGGATGTTTAGAGAGCTCATTTCAGAGTAAACAAGTTAGCCTCAGCCTATTCATTTTGCTAATGCTTTGAGAGGGTTGAAAGGTGATTTCTGAAAGAAGAGGAAGATTATTGCCTCCTGCAAGAGATCTGATTCCAGCACCGTACATTATCTGTTTAGGAACCAGATTAAGTTATCAAAGAGCAAACCAAATTTTAAATTTAAATTATGAATCAACAAAAGTAAATAGAAGATTAGATTATTGAAATCTTAGAGCAGTGCTTCTCTGACAGAAATTAATGGAAAATGGAAAATCAAATGGAATGATTAAAGCATACTGATGGATTTACAAATCAGAAGCAAAGAGTATTAAATTAGTTTCCCAAATTATTAAATTAAGTCACTAAATTAAAAATACTCAGGTGAAAGATATACTTATCTCTGTATTACATTATTACTGTCTTTTGATTTTGATCAATTATTTTGTCAACTGCATTAAATTCTGACACAAGGAAATAATTTCTCAGGATACATTCAGATTACTGCTTTGAACAGAAGTTCCTAGGTATTAATGCAATTAAATGGTAACTATGATGATGACTTCATTACTATTGCAACACAAGTAATGGTGTCCCAAACACAATGGTGTCACTGCTACTCTTTCCAGCAGTAAAATATGAGAGAAGTAAAGAGATGGTTAAGAATTTTCTTGTGAGTTTACCTAGAGATTGTTTGAAAGAAGATGGAGGCCAGAAAACCTGAGGTATGTTTACAGTGTGTTTGTCCATGCTCACCTATATCACTAGCTAGAATATTATGACAATCCCTATTTAAAACAAAATGTGTCCCGGTAGTTCTATCCATGGGAATGATGCATGGTAGCTATCATTTTCATGTATAGGGGTAACAGATTAAACAAAACATTAAATACATGTACATGACATCCAAATAGAGCATGATGTAGGTGCCAAATGTAGGCATCTAATGCCATTTGAGACATCATAGGTTGCACGAGGCATCTATCTGTAGATACTGTCTAGGCTACCCACCGAGGCAGCTGCTGGTCATAATCCAGCCAATCTGAGACACTTGTTTGAGGATGGGATGTGTTGCCTTATGGCATTGTCTAGCTTTCTGTTGACTTTGGCAAGAGCGTGAACAAGTAGCTTAACTTCTAGATGGCAGACATTTGGTAGTTTAGAAGACAGCCAGCCTTAACCACAGAACAAGGCAGTTTGAGACAGTCAAGGAAGCATTTAAGAATTTTTTCTGTGAAAACTCATATCGAAGAGAAAACACTGAGAAGTTGTTCTACAGTAACAATCTTTGTTTTTAATATGTAATTTTCAAACTTGAATATACTCGATGACTTCCTTTGCTGCTCAGTCTTTAAAGGAAGTAAATTTGATTTAGAAATACTGAAAAAAAAAAAGTATATTCCACTGGGAAGCAGGAAAAAGTACTCTGTGTAGACTAAAGAAGTAGGGATGAAGTGAATGGAAGAAAAAAATCATTTGTGTCTTTGTCCCCTGTACAAGTACACTGAGAAGCCTGTGGCTACCTTTGAGGTATGTTTATTCAGGTGTATCACATGAAGCTAATTCAAGTTGACAACAGTGAAGAGCTGATCCCACCTGTCCCAGAAATAACTGTTAATGTTTTATACCAGAAAGCAAATATTTATATTCTAATAAGGACGTGATTGAAAAGATTACATACTTTCTTTACTTTTTTTGTAGAAGAAAAGTTTTCTTAATAAGAAACATGTAAAGGCTATCGAAGAGATACTGTAGAGTCTATCGAAGCTATTTTTTGTCCACTTGTGTAAGCATCTCAAATTAGAACTGTTTCTTTTATCAGCACAGATTGGATGTGTCATAAAATAGCTAAATCCCAGCTGGGTGGTCCCAGCATGGAGCATTTACACAGTTCTTCAGAAACAGGTAAGATTTGGATCTGCATGGCCTCAATACCTGTCCTGTCAGCATCCATTTTTGGACTACAAGACTTCCTGAATCATGGGGAGTGCATTGCTAATGACAGCGTCATGACTGGAGATTATCTCTACATATATCATCTCTACATATATCTCCACATTATCTCCAATATCTTCACAGATATTGGAAATATCTGGTTATAGTGGAATTCCATGATTTTAATTAATGGAAATAGTTTTAATGAAAACCTAGAAACACAAAAATATATTATGTTTGTCATACACCTTTTTATTGGAGCTTTCTTTAATAATAGCTAAATTTCTACTTAGGCTAACTTAGTGTTGGGTCAGTACAGATAAAATGTACCTAGAACAATGAAAAACACTTTAGCAAACTGTTTTTCTACATCCCTTATGTCAGGTGCTTGGTAGAAGCTCCATGCCAATGTGTATAACTTTGGAAAATGAGCTTTAATATGTCAAGCTAGATTAATGATTATACTTTAAAGTTGTAAGTGGTGAATGTTCTTGTCTTGTACCTGTTTTATTAAAGCTTGAATAACTAGTAGAATTTCAGCTTTGATATTTGATACTGTACTTCTCAGTCTCAAGCTCCCTATGAAAAGACAGTGAAAAAATATACTAAGAAAGACAGAATTGATAAACGTTGTTCATGTCATATCTGTGTCTGCTAGCATTTTCGAATAACTTTGACAAGAGAGAGAAGCAAACTGCACTTCTTTATTAGGAATTTTATTTTGAATTGGTGAGACACTTAAATCAGCCCAGATAGTTCTGAAAATCCCATGTATAGAAGCTTAGAAGCCTGATTTTAGATCTGTCATTTAGAAAATGATAGTCTGTGTGTATTTAAAAATCTAGTCACTCTATTACTCTATTGAAAGTTTAATCATTTATGTTTTTCACAGTAACTGATTTTATGCAAAAGAGAAGGCTTTTAGTGGGAAAACAAATACGCTTATTTGATTCAAGTATTTCTTTACTACTTCACTAAAAGTTAAGCTTATAGTTCATATGAGTAAAGGTATATGTTCTTTTACGTGTTTGTAGGTTATCAGACTTAATTTAAATATTTTGCTTTTTGACTGTAGTAGTACTGTGATATTACCAAGCAAAATCATGCCAGTAGTGACACTAAAATAAATATAAGGTTTGTTACATAAAGATGTTAGTCTAAAGATACACCAACCCATGAGATGTGATAAAATCTATTACCGAGATGAGTGATGAAAACAAAACAGTAAACAAATTCCTAATTTTTATTTATTTATTTATTTTTCCACTAAATGCAGCTCTTAGCAGAGACTACAATAAAGGAGACAGGGTAGCTTGCTACAGGGTAGCTTGCTTGCTACAGGGTAGCAAGCAAGGCACAACAGTCTCCTTTCTGCCTCACCCAGTCTTTCCTCTGTGCTTCCTGGCAGCTCTTCTTGCTTCGTGACTCATTGTGAGTATGAAGAGCACCTCCTTACTCCAGGCTGAGGACAAAGCATACTGCCTGGTCACCAACTGTTATGAAGAGGGACACGTGACTGTGTTGGTGACAACGGAGGTTGAAAAAAACAGTGGGCTTGAGCTCAAGGAGTGGTAGCTGGTAAATTTGTTCTGGGAAATTCTGCAGACACAAGATTTTGGTGCAGATGGTTCGGGAGGGAACTCCCAAAATGTCTTGTTTTATAAAGAGTTTTAGGAAATCTTCCTCCTTTTTTTAAAAAAAAAATAAAATTATTTATTTATTTATTTTTGTTATTACAAATTTGTGTGAGACTCAAATACATATAATGCACACTTGGAGGAATTAGTTATCACAGCATTGTACCCTAACTTCAGCCTGTTGCTACACATAAAATGCTGAACAATGTAAGAGGAAGTGAGGAAAAAGACCTGGTGCTGCTGGGTTTTGAAATGCTATAAAAACGTTACTGAGAAAAAGAAACAGAAAGAGTCATTTGTCATGGCTTCTGAATGGATCCTCTCTGCTGTTCAAAAAAGGTGTGCAGTTCAGGCTTTGTATATTTAGGTCTAGAAATGTCTGTGAAGGCACAGCCAGGGCAGGCTGCTCCTGCACGTCTGGGGAACTGGGTGGGAAGGTGACGCCAGTGCTGGCCTTTGGGGCGTGAGATCAGCAGGCAGAGCTGGGTCAACAGCAGGGTCCATCAATTGCCCTTGACATAGTGAGGGGGTAAGCCACAGCCAGGATCCATACTGGAGGACCAGTAGGGAGACAGGGTCAGACCCAAGGCCAGGGCTGGAGACAAAGAGATGATGTGGGGCCAAAGTTTATCCATTGGACAGAGACAGAACCAGAAAGAGAGCAGAGGACAGGCTGCAATGTCTGTCATTGGGATCCATCCAGGAGGTGAGCTACTGCAGCACAGGGCTGAGATCCAACCCAGGAGGCAGAGCCAGAATCAGGTATGGAGACCTATTGTGTCATTGCTGGGGCAGGCACCAATGTCCCTGGGCTTATCTGAAATGGGGTTCCCATGCTCCTGGATGTGTGTTCTGAATGAGTTTGGCTGTCAGGCCTTCTGGTGTACTCAGGGCCATGACAATGACAGGCATCTCACAGTGTGGCTCTCTGCATAACTGGTGAGTTAATTTTATTTTTTTCAGTCTTTGTTCTTTTGTTGTTGAATTTTCTTGGCAGCTATTTCACCCTCTGAAGTCACTAAATTTGAATGTTGTTGATCTATGCTGCAAATGAGCGATTAGTGCTTAATGGTTGTCAGACATCACTGTACATTTATCAGACAATCTATTTAAAATTGAAGGAAGTGGTTAGACACAAAAAAGTAGTAAAATTACCATGTAAAGAAAATAGAGTTAATTAATCTAAAAAATTTCCAGTTTTTCAAGATAAGCATTTGCAGCAACCAAAGATGTGTAAAAAAAAAAAAAATTTTTTTTACAAAATCCCATGAAATCCCATGGACCAAACATGCCACTGAGAGAACAGTTGTTGGTTGAAGTATAGTCTAAAGAAATTTGTGATCCTGCAAAGGAGACATTTTTAGTGTCATCGTTACTACAAATATATAGTTTTGTATTAATTTTCATTCTGTTCCAAGCCTTGTGGTTACTCTTCTTACAAATGTTATTCTCAGGACTGAATGTGAGTAAAGGGAGTCTTATTCCATTAGCATGTCTGTGATCCAGTGATAGTCAATAGGAATCTTGGAAAAGGTCAGTTTTGGTGTTGGCCTTTAGCAAGCATACTGACATTCAGATACAATAGAACACTCATGGTTTCTAAAAGCAATGGAATAAATTGGAGTGATGGAGATAAGAACGTTATACTATGAGTTTCAGTGGAAGTTGGATTGACCTAATAAGTTAGTTGAACTGATGCATCGCTAGAAGAATGTTAGGATCATTCTCTTGGGCATGAAAATATATGAATGCCAAGTTCGGGGGTGATTCCAAAATGGATAGACAGGGCTTGTGAGATGTAATGTCCTTGTGTCTTTTAGTTTATACACATGGAAAATTCCTTTTTGATACCAGTCTTCTTGTGCTACTTTTCATCATGAAATATCACTGAGAGATGATCAGCTGGAACAGGAGTATTGTCAACTTCTAAGAGACTGGAAGTACTATTTATCCCATTCCTTACCAGCTGAGCACAATTTGGATTTTTTGATGAGTTTTGTAAGAAATGAGGAATGATTAGAAGGCTGAAAAATACAAAATAAACAACAAACCCATAAACAAAAATTTATCACTGCCTAGTGGAAAATGTATCAGCAGGTAGTCTGATTTGCTTGTATGTTGGTGGTTGAACTAGTGGCCGACTGCTTGTATTTTCATCTAGGCAGTACCAAACCGTTTTGGTTGATGGAAGTCATTCTTCTGAAACTCTTCATTCTTTCTGATCAGCAACAGTCACAGAGGCATGTCATAAAACCTCATCCATGCTAGTTCCTTCTGTTTTCCTTCTTTCCTTCTTTCCTTCTTTCCTTCTTTCCTTCTTTCCTTCTTTCCTTCTTTCCTTCTTTCCTTCTTTCCTTCTTTCCTTCTTTCCTTCTTTCCTTCTTTCCTTCTTTCCTTCTTTCCTTCTTTCCTTCTTTCCTTCTTTCCTTCTTTCCTTCTTTCTCCTTGCAAGGAAATGCAAACTATGTATTTTTAAATTGGAGATTATCGCAGTGACTGTGATCACAGTGGTACACTTTCCCAGTTCACAAATATAGGAGAAGCGTAGCAACTTCTCCCCCTCCTTCTTGCTGATGGCAGTGTGATGAAATGAAAGTTTGTCTCTTTTCCCCGGCTCCAGACTTTCACTATCACTTATGCACAGGGTCTCAGTTTAGTGTTTACCTCATTTGCCCCACACTTGAGATAGTCATGGCTCAAATCCAGTAGTAGTTTCATTTTTGTTTCCTGCGCAGAACAAACGGACATAAACTGTGCCAATTCCGGTCGGATGAGCTCTAGATAGCAACCCAATAAGCTAGAGGTGCAGAGCTAGCAAAATTCACATTAGCAGGGCTTTAGCAACAGCCCAAAACCTTAAATCCTATCGTCTTACTAACCTGATGCCACAATTTGTCTTCTTTTGTGTGATACAAAATTTATGAGTTTTACACCCTCAGAAATAAATCATGATGTTAATTTTTGTTTGTACATATGTGAGATGGGATTTTTACTGTTGTTTCTTATTTATTTATTTTTCCATCAGGAGTCCCTTCTCTTCTGCTGGGGAATTGTGATGATTAAGGCTTGTTAAAAATTTTGACTTTCTTGATCCTTATTGACCTCAAACTACATTTTAATCTAAATTTGGATGTTTTGCTCAATAGTGCCCAAGAGAGCATTACATTTTCTGCTTTATACTGCTCTTCTTTTTTCCTTCATGTCTTACAAAATCATGTGTTCTATTTCTTTCTGATTTATTTCTTAATTTACACCACTTGTTTATAAATGCAGAAAAAAAAACCCACAAATGTTTATTTATAGTTTCAGTTTTTGTCAGAATTTCTGTGCTGTGTTTGGGCAGTTTTTCTCACAGAACAAATCCATCTTATTCTCCCTTACCTTCAGATCTGAAATTCTGCGTTCATGTTCTGTTAGGTTCTGCTGTACTGTGGGAATATTGGCAGGATGAGATGTGTGTATGAGGTTGTCAGTGAATCTTAGAACCTTTCCAAGGAAGCCTTGGGGGAAGGAAGCTTGTTCTTAAATTCTCAATTTCTGGTGTGTGGTTTAAAGTAGTTTTATTATTAACTGCAGACTTTTAATAAGGTGACAGCTGGTAGAATAATTTAATGGACAAGCTTGAAAGATTTTTTTTTTCCTTCTTCTTCTTCCAGAAACAAACTGTTCAAACTGCAAATAAACACTAGTGGGTACAGAATCACACATTTCTGAGATGTTAATGTAGGTTTTTCAATTTGCATATTCAATTAGGGCTTGCTAAGTAGACATTTTAACCATTACAATTATGTTCAGTGCTATAGTCCTGAAATACCTTGGACAGTTCAGGATATTGCACACTGCTTTCTACTGAAAAGTGAGGAACATGAAGAAAAACTGACTGAACTTAGGCCTGGGGAGGTTTCTAATTTCCTGCATGTTGAAATGTAGTGGTTATTGTTTCCCTTAAACAGATGGAAATCTGCTGATTTCATAGGTGGATAAAGCTGAGTTGAGTCCATATAGAAGTTCAGGTTCAACTTCATGTACTAACTGAAAATATAAAACTGCATTCTGAAGAAATAAAATAAATAGTGCTTTTCAAAGTGAATGGCCTGCTGTGCTTGCTAATGAGAAAGTTCAGTAGAACCTGCAATAGTTTAAAATCACATGCAATCAATGAACATGAATCGTAATCCTCTTCCTCTCTGGGAGATAAATTTAGCAAAGGATTTAAGCATGTGGTTATCCCCATTCCTGTTAGTTAAGCATTTCAAACACTGGAGTTGATGGGACTGAAGTTTGTTCACAAAGCTAAGCATGAATATTGATAAAAAGAAGTGGATATCCTTACTGAGGCCCTGGGTAATCCAGAAATGAAGACGTGCACAGTGTACAGGGCCTAGTGATAATCAAAACTGGGGCAAAATCTCATGCTTTGAGTATAACAGCCAAAAAAATTAGTTTTCTTCATATTGGTGTAAAAACAGGAACATTGACTGAAGCTGAATATAGAAAGGAAGGGGCATATATTGTCTGCCAGGATTCAGCAGTGCTTTGCAGAAACCTGCTCTATAAAGTGGGTGAAAGACTGTCCAGGGCAGTTGGCAAGTGCAGACTTAGTCCTCAATCAACATCCAGGTGACAAAAGACAGATGACCTGCTTCTTTCAGGTGCAGTGCTATGGTCACCCAATCCCAATGATCCTATATAGCCCAAAGTAATGTTCAGTGTGTGCCTTGGCTGGAAGATGGCATGACATAGGGTTGCATCCCTTAACACTAGCAATAAATGGTCCAGCAGCCAACTGTTTGACTGGAGATAAAGCACTTGTATGTCAGCAGGACTCCTGGATTCAGGCTGCGCGAGGCAGGCAGACCAAGTGTCCTCTTCTGGCAGTTACACTTTCTAGTAGTCTAACTTGTAAAGGGTATCTGCTTCCTCCATGCAATAGGCCAAAACAGAATTCAGCTTTTTGAATTGAAAGACTCATCCTATAGGACCACTGAGTTGTCTCGCAGGAAAGTGCAGGCTCTGTGCCACCAATCTAGGTTTACTGGAACACCCTCTGAGGGCTTTTAGAAGCACCTGTAACTGTTTTTCCAAGATTACATAAATATCTAATTTAGATCATCTGAATCACCTTGGTGGGGTGAGAAGTCTAAGTTTTATATGCTACAATGCTACACTCAGGTGTCTAAGTCTGAATATAGCTCGCAATATCTAATGGGTGAATTAGACACAAATGCTACTAGTTCTAAATTGCAGTGTGAAGTCAATTTCAGGC